TCGATCTGAGTTTCAAAAATAAAAATATGTAGAAGTTCTAATTTGTAAATGAGGCGCTACAACCAATTTTTTCTTGACAATTATACACACTGCAATAGTCAACCATTGTAAGTTTCTGCAAGTCGTCCTAACTCCTCCAGATGTGATGAAGGTGACAACAGGGAATGCGTCAGAAGAGAGAGAAAAGCAATTTGGGTTGGTCTATTTCTTATAAGGCATGGACCTTATAAGAAATAGACTAGTCTATTTCTTATAATTTCTTATATTTTCGTTTAATTTTACTACCACTTGGTTTTGAATAGACATACTGATACAAAGGGCTGGAATAAAACGGTTAACGTAAAAAAGTACAAAAATTTATTCTTCCGCAAGAGATAAATCAAAATGCTGAAATATTTCTTCAAAAAATATTCTAACAATATCACAAAATGTCAAACGTTTAGCAAAAATCAATTCCAAACAGAGAAACTAATTCTATCTCACAGCGAAATCGCTACAAATCAATCACAGCATTAAGTAAACAAACAGTTCGCTAGAACTACAGCTACTACTGAGATAGTTGTTTGTTCTCGGCTTTTATAAGATTTATAATTAATTTCTCGAATATACTGGAAACATCTAAAATATCTGGATTTTGTGATGGCAACAGCAATTACGAGATATTTATTTATTAGGTATTATTAAATGCACGCGCTGTTCTATATTTAACCTTCCAACGCAGCTGTCTTTTCAAAAATCGTCTGCGTTGCTAAGCAACATGAAGCAAATCTAATTACAATTCTAAAAAAAATAAAAAAAAAAAATAAATAAATAAAAATAACTATGACATCCGTAACAATATGAATTAAGTAATAATTAATATAAAGCAAAGTGCATGCACATGCATGCACCAATATATCGTACAAAACTATGATTGGAAAACTGAGACCATGAGTTCGGCCACATTCGGCTATCCGGGGATACGTACAAGTTCTGAGTGCAAGTGTTCCCCAAAGCGAAGGTAGCTGAACGTAAGCGACTCACACGCATTTGTAATTTAAGTAGTGTGTGGTCAGCTCGCTGAGTAATCCAACAAACTGAATAATATCCTTAATTACTTAGCAGTAAACATTTCATTTTTTTCTTCGTCGATAGTTATTTATCATTATATATTATTATTTGCCGATATACGGGCGGGCCGCAAAATATTTGTTGTGGGCCGCGTGCGGCCCGCGGGCGCGAGTTTGACATTCTTGATCTACAGTGAATACAGTTGAATGAATAAATCGGTGTTGTTAAAAAAAATTATGCTTGGAGATAAAAAATAAACTTTTGCAAATGCAAGTTATTGTGTATTTTTCATTAAAAGTTATTCCTTTTAATATGCATTAAATTAATTATATACAATAAATATTAATGAAATATTACTTATGAGTGTTGTTAATTAAGCATTATTATTCTTATTATCAATATCTTCCGTAAATTATTGCTGGAACATGTGCAGTATAGCTTCGGCAAGATCTTCTTTGTTGGAGGGCTATTGATCCGATTTGTTCTAAAAGTTATAAAAGAGGTGTTTTGCAAGCGCAATCATATTTTTCTATTTCTTCAAAGGGGTGTAGAAATCTTGTTTTTATTTTTTCATTTTTATATCTAAAGGCTCGTGGTTCTTTATATTCATTCGCTATGCCTTAGCCTTTTCAATAGTTATCCAAAAATATTTCTCAGAATCTAATTCATCACTGGAAGAGGATGATAGAGAATCAAATGCAATGTCTGCAGTTTGACTGTCCTGATTCGAATTCTCTAATTATTCTGAGAATAATTTCATTCTTAATGAAAGTCATAGATGGCTTTCTTTGCCCTTTTTAATTTGTTCATCATCCGAAAAAATTCAGTGTTTCGGATCAACATAGATTGAACCCAGCGCGATCTTATTGTCTAGGAAACTAGTTTCTCTTTTCTTCATTGAAGAAATGATTCCCTCCGCAATAAACCCTGCAGAATAAACCCTCCATTTCAGAAAGCACAAACATCACATTCTTCCATTCTCACCTGCTGTCAATTTTTCAGATTGCAACTTTTTTGTGTCTATATACGATGTAGAAAGAAGAGTTCCCAATTCAGCATGATCATTTCACAGTCTTTCTATTAGGGAAACATTAGGATTATCTACATCTTCTAAAAAGTTCTTAATTCTAACAACCTCTTTGTCATCAAATATGTACTTCCTTATCATGTTGCTTGATTAATGATTGCTCCTTTTCCGGCTCGCTTCCTAAGAATGGCATCAATTTTGGGAGTTCGTGCTGCTATTGCTGCTTACATAAATTTAACAGTGAAATTGGTAACTAAATGAATCAGTTTAATCACTAATGGCAAATATCACATCCATCCTCTTCCCTTATATTTATTTATTAATATGTCAAAATAAAAAATAACTATTTATTAATGTATATAGTTCATAAATAAAAATAATAGCTCAGCTGTGTCATTAATTTTTTTTCACTTTATTTTTTTCAAATTCCAACAAAAATTGGAGTCGGAGTCGATCTGTTTTTAGCGACTCCAGCTCCGACTCCTTCTACCCCAAAATCTTCTCGACTTCGATTCCGACTCCACAGCCCTGATTACAACTGGCACCTCAACAGTGAATTGAACTATTGACATTTCATTCATCTGTACAAGAGCAATGAAGTGGACTGTTTTTCCATATGTCCTGACTATACTTTATTTTAATTAAGTCATGCGTGTGAGACAAAGGCATTAAATTGTTATTACGATTGTGTGAAAACAGGAAAATTAAAGTCAATATCCTTGAAAAAACTGTTACTTTTTGAAAAAAATACTTTAGACATTCATATTCATTATGTTATTCTCTATATTTATAATGTCAAGCTAATAATAGTCACAAATAATTCCTATGTATTTTTTGTGATAATATATCATTTTAAAAGAGGTATATTATATATCAAGAACAAGGTTGATAAAGAAAGTATAAGAATTCTTTCTGTAACTAAAGATGATTCACTACTCTGTATTAAAATAAAAAGGATTATCAATCCATGAATAACATGTGTTTTTATGCACATCGCCTTACTGGATGGTTGCTGGTTGCTGGCAATCAATAGACTATCTGTGCAACAGCTGGAGAACAAGGTGCTTAGAATTATCTTTGAAGCTCTGTGTTTTGTCTTAAGAAACATACATCAACCTGGATTTAAAAATTAAATTAATAGACCGTGAGGCTCAAATAGAAGTATCTAATTTTACAAGAACTGTAAGAGCCATAGCTGCAGTTTATTTAATAACTCAGATGTCTATGATGTTATCATTGAGGAGCCTTTAAATGGCTAAGGATTACATAACGTAACATTAAGCAGTAGACTACAGTTAGCAAATTTGCAACATTTTTCTTGCTAGTTGTTCAGGAACGTGCACGAACTCAGTTAATACACAATAATTTAATATGTTCATTATAATGTAGATTTTTTGTGGCAACAGTGATGTTGTTTACATATTTACTTTGAGCGTGATAACGCATGGGATGTTATTCTTTTTGATATGTTTAGAATACTAAATAAAATAGTTCGTTGTTAATTAAAAAGGTTTTCTCTGCTAAATATATTACCATTCGTCCGAAGTTATTAAATAAATAAAGAAATTGATCTAATTTCAAACAACTGGCGTCCGGTGACAGGATGGAATGGCTATTTGAAGAAAACGAAACATCGATTTCGTATTGGAATTTATCAAGTGAGTTTATGATTTATTTGATTATATCCTTTATTATTTGAATATATTGGACATATTGAATTTAAAATCATGGAAATTTTATTAAAAAAGCGTAAGCCACTAAGGCAATCGTTTACGATTACTGCCAATGCTTTAGATGCTGAAATTCTAAAGCCTGACGTGGAAGTTAATCAACTCCAAGTATTGAGCTTACAGTTGGAAGGAAAATTCAACAGATTAGATGAAGTTCGTCACAAATTTCCGAACTTTTATTGGAAGGTCAAAACGAAAGTGAATATTTAGCTGATTTTGACACGAATGAAACATATCGTGATAAATATATCAGTTTAAAAACAAAAGTAGAAAACAAAATGGTGAATTCCACTCCTGTAATTACACCTGGAATTTTAGAAAATTCCACGAAAAGAAACTTTAAATTGCCAAAGTTGGAGCTTCAAAAATTCAATGGGGAGACCCGAAATTGGTTAGGATTTTGGGAACAGTTTAAGAAGATCGACGAAGATCTAAATATAGATGACAATGACAAATTTCAATACCTATTGCAGGCAACGGTCGTTGGATCTCCAGCGAGAGAGCTGATAGATAGTTATCCTCCCTCTGGCGCGAATTACAAAGAAGCTATCAAGAAGCTAAAATCTCGATTTGCACGAGACGAATTACTGGTAGAAATCTATGTTCGCGAATTATTAAAGTTGGTTTTGGCTCAAGCTAGCAAAAAAGGAAATATGACTCTATCCAACTTATATGATTGATAAGTTAGAGACGCAACTCAGAGCTTTGGAGACGTTGGGGGTAAAAAGTGAGATTTATGCAGCTATGCTGTATCCCCTTGTAGAGTCTTCACTACTTGAAGAAATTCTGAGGGCATGGGAGCGATCTCCCCAGCGTAAGGAAAGTGTGGCACACACTGAAAATTTGGAAAATTTATTGCATTTTCTCCGAATTGAAGTTGAAAGTGAAGAGCGTCTTCAGTTGGCCCGTACAAGTTTTTCTGCTCCAGACAAATTGGACTCGGTTCCAGCACAGCAGCTTGTATTTATGCAGGAGATTCAAAGAAGAAACAGCTTAATTTTTGTGTTTGGTGTGACAAGGAAACACATAATTCTTATGAGTGCTTTAAGCTGCACAGCCTTTCATTGGAAGATAAGAAAAATTTACTAAGAAAGAAAAAAGCTTGTTTTAACTGCCTAAAAATTGGGCATGCTGCCGAAAAGTGTAAAAGTTCTGTGAAATGCCTATTTTGCAACAAACATCATGTAACGGTGATGTGCAGAGAACTAAAAGGTTCTAGAAGTTCAAAAAAGGAACCACCTAAAGCAGCTAACGAAACAAGTGAGACTTTATTGTCTAACCAAAAACTGCAAACAACTCTTCTCCAAACTATTATGGTGAAGATTGTCCATAATGGAAAAAAGGAGCTTGTGAGAACTCTTTTTGACAGTGGGTCACAAAGATCTTACTTACGGAAAGACATAATAAAGAGACTAGATTTAGTCCCATTAGATCAAGAGACTTTGAGCCACAATTTGTTTGGTGGAGTTGAAACTGAATCTCAGATCCATGGTATTTTTGATATCGAAATACAAGGAACGGAAAATAAATTCAAATACAAATTGTCGGTTTTAGATAAAGACAAAATTTGTGGATACATTCCTAGAGTGAAACTCAAACACATATGCTCCTCACTTCGAGAACATAAAATCAAAATCAGTGATTCTGGAAGAGATATACCAGATATCGGATTGTTAATAGGAGCCGACTATTCCGGACAGTTGATGACGAATAATATCATTCCAATTGACAAAAACCTTATTGCCATTGAAACAAAATTGGGTTGGACCCTACAAGGCCCAGTGCAAAGTCATAATACCTTGCTTGGTACCGTCGGACTTTGTTATTTGGATCTCACAGAAATATGTAATTTAGAGACAATTGGCATAAAAGATCCGGCGGAAGTGAAGACTAAGGAGAATTTAGACAATGAAACGATCAAATTTTTCCTAGAGAACATAAAAGTAATCGAGGGCAATAGGTATGAAGTCTGTTTGCCTTGGAAGGATAGTCATCGGATTCTTGAAGATAATAAAGATAAAGCGGAAAAAAGACTTTTCGCCAATACACGAAGACTGCAGAAGATGGGATTTTTCGAAGAATATGATGGTATTATTAAAGGCTGGCACGAGGAAGGTATAATTGAAATAGCTCCGAATAATAGTGATACTGGTCACTATTTATCTCATCAAGCAGTAATCAAGGATTCCAGTCTGACTACGAAAGTGCGACCTGTATTTGGTTGCATCATTGAAGGATGAAAATGGGAATTCCTTGAATGCTTGCCTCGTAAAGGGACCGAATTTAATAGAAATGCTTCCAAAACCTTTGATACAATTCCGGAAACATGCAATTGGTGTTACTGCCGATATAAGAAAAGCTTTCTTACAATTCAGTTTGTGTGTCAGAGACAGAGACATTTTGAAATTCCTGTGGTGGAAAGATTCAAACAAAACCGAGATTATTACCTACAGACACTGTCGTGTCGTGTTCGGGATTTCTTCGAATCCATTCCTGTTGGGAGCAACGATTTCTTACCATTTGGATAATACACAAGATTTAAGAGGAACGGCACTTAGATTGAAGAAATCCTTTTGTGTCTACAATTGTATAGCTAGTTTCGAAACTGAAGAAGAAGTAGTCAAGTTCAAAGAAGAGTCCCAAACTCTAATGTCTTCAGGAGGTTTTGACCTTAGAGGGTGGACTGCTGCACCATTCAAAGACAGAAGCATGATTTCCTATCAGAAGGTCATTCCAATTCTGGGACTCTCATGGGACACCGAGAATGATGAAAGCTATTGCAATTTAAGCCCTTTGACATTTTCGGAGAGTGCCCACACAAAACGATCTCTTTTGTCAGTCTCACAGAGGATATTCGATCCCATCGGATTTACAAGTCCAACCACGTTAATTCCAAAACTCATTCTGCAAAAAACATGGAAGATGAAACTTACCTGGGATGAAAATCTTCCACAAGGTATAGAAAGAGAATTTCAGACTTGGCTCAAAAGACTACACTTTTTGAATTATTGTAAAATTTCAAGAAGACTTCTGATTCGACCCTTCGATGACTGCTCTATCTCTCTACATTGTTTTAGTGATGCTAGTAAGGTATCTTATGCAGCATGCATTTTCTTACGTGCATATTTTGAGGGCAAAACTTCAGTACAATTGGTATTATGTAAATCAAGAGTAGCACCTGCCAAAGAAGTAACTATTTCCAGATTAGATTTGCTTGGAGCACTTATAGCTTATCGGCTGTACCGTCAAGTCATTGACGCTCTTAAATTGACAAAGTGCCAAGTGTACTTTTGGAGCGACTCGTCTGTAGTTCTAACATGGATAAAAAAAGACTCCCACTGGAGTGTTTTTGTGGCCAATCGTGTAGCTGAAATAAGGAGATGCACAAATCCGGACGACTGGAATTATGTACCAAGCTTAAGCAAACTTTTGATACAATTCCGGCAACATGCAATTGGTGTTACTGCCGATATAAGGAAAGCTTTCTTACAAATCAGTTTGTGTGTCAGAGACAGAGACTTTTTGAAATTCCTGTGGTGGAAAGATTCAAACAAAACCGAGATTATTACCTACAGACACTGTCGTGTCGTGTTCGGCATTTCTTCGAGTCCATTCCTGTTGGGAGCAACGATTTCTCACGATTTGGATAATACTCCACAAGATTTAAGAGGAACCACACTTAGATTGAAGAAATCCTTTTATGTAGACAATTGTATAGCTAGTTTCGAAACTGAAGAAGAAGTAGTCAAGTTCAAAGAAGAGTCCCAAACTCTAATGTCTTCAGGAGGTTTTGACCTTAGAGGGTGGACTGCTGCACCATTCAAAGACAGAAGCATGATTTCCTATCAGAAGGTCATTCCAATTCTGGGACTCTCATGGGACACCGAGAATGATGAAAGCATTGCAATTTAAGCCCTTTGACATTTTCGGAGAGTGCGCACACAAAACGATCTCTTTTGTCAGTCTCACAGAGGATATTCGATCCCATCGGATTTACAAGTCCAACCACGTTAATTCCAAAACTCATTCTGCAAAAAACATGGAAGATGAAACTTACCTGGGATGAAAATCTTCCACAAGGTATAGAAAGAGAATTTCAGACTTGGCTCAAAAGACTACACTTTTTGAATTATTGTAAAATTTCAAGAAGACTTGTGATTGGACCCTTCGATGACTGCTCTATCTCTCTACATTGTTTTAGTGATGCTAGTAAGGTATCTTATGCAGCATGCATTTTCTTACGTGCATATTTTGAGGGCAAAACTTCAGTACAATTGGTATTATGTAAATCAAGAGTAGCACCTGCCAAAGAAGTAACTATTTCCAGATTAGAGTTCCAGATTGGAGCACTTATAGCTTATCGGCTGTACCGTCAAGTCATTGACGCTCTTAAATTGACAAAGTGCCAAGTGTACTTTTGGAGCGACTCGTCTGTAGTTCTAACATGGATAAAAAAAGACTCCCACTGGAGTGTTTTTGTGGCCAATCGTGTAGCTGAAATAAGGAGATGCACAAATCCGGACGACTGGAATTATGTACCAAGCTTAAGCAAACTTTTGATACAATTCCGGCAACATGCAATTGGTGTTACTGCCGATATAAGGAAAGCTTTCTTACAAATCAGTTTGTGTGTCAGAGACAGAGACTTTTTGAAATTCCTGTGGTGGAAAGATTCAAACAAAACCGAGATTATTACCTACAGACACTGTCGTGTCGTGTTTCGGCATTTCTTCGAGTCCATTCCTGTTGGGAGCAACGATTTCTCACGATTTGGATAATACTCCACAAGATTTAAGAGGAACCACACTTAGATTGAAGAAATCCTTTTATGTAGACAATTGTATAGCTAGTTTCGAAACTGAAGAAGAAGTAGTCAAGTTCAAAGAAGAGTCCCAAACTCTAATGTCTTCAGGAGGTTTTGACCTTAGAGGGTGGACTGCTGCACCATTCAAAGACAGAAGCATGATTTCCTATCAGAAGGTCATTCCAATTCTGGGACTCTCATGGGACACCGAGAATGATGAAAGCTATTGCAATTTAAGCCCTTTGACATTTTCGGAGAGTGCGCACACAAAACGATCTCTTTTGTCAGTCTCACAGAGGATATTCGATCCCATCGGATTTACAAGTCCAACCACGTTAATTCCAAAACTCATTCTGCAAAAAACATGGAAGATGAAACTTACCTGGGATGAAAATCTTCCACAAGGTATAGAAAGAGAATTTCAGACTTGGCTCAAAAGACTACACTTTTTTGAATTATTGTAAAATTTCAAGAAGACTTGTGATTGGACCCTTCGATGACTGCTCTATCTCTCTACATTGTTTTAGTGATGCTAGTAAGGTATCTTATGCAGCATGCATTTTCTTACGTGCATATTTTGAGGGCAAAACTTCAGTACAATTGGTATTATGTAAATCAAGAGTAGCACCTGCCAAAGAAGTAACTATTTCCAGATTAGAGTTGCTTGGAGCACTTATAGCTTATCGGCTGTACCGTCAAGTCATTGACGCTCTTAAATTGACAAAGTGCCAAGTGTACTTTTGGAGCGACTCGTCTGTAGTTCTGACATGGATAAAAAAAGTCTCCCACTGGAGTGTTTTTGTGGCCAATCGTGTAGCTGAAATAAGGAGATGCACAAATCCGGACGACTGGCATTATGTACCAAGCTTAAGCAAACTTTTGATACAATTCCGGCAACATGCAATTGGGTTACTGCCGATATAAGGAAAGCTTTCTTACAAATCAGTTGTGTGTCAGAGACAGAGACTTTTTGAAATCCTGTGGTGGAAAGATTCAAAACAAAACCGAGATTATTACCTACAGACACTGTCGTGTCGTGTTCGGCATTTCTTCGAGTCCATTCCTGTTGGGAGCAACGATTTCTCACCATTTGGATAATACTCCACAAGATTTAAGAGGAACCACACTTAGATTGAAGAAATCCTTTTATGTAGACAATTGTATAGCTAGTTTCGAAACTGAAGAAGAAGTAGTCAAGTTCAAAGAAGAGTCCCAAACTCTAATGTCTTCAGGAGGTTTTGACCTTAGAGGGTGGACTGCTGCACCATTCAAAGATAGAAGCATGATTTCCGTCTTGTAAAGAGAATTTGTTCAAAGTGCGATGCCAAAATGTTGCTACAGAGCAGATGGTGGGAGGGGCAGGATTGGCTTAAACAGGAGCCGGATAAATGGCCTCTCTCTGAAGAGTCAGAACTAGAAACTGATGAAAATACAGTTAATTCAGAAAAAAGGAAAAATGTGGTTTCTAGCGTTTCCTGTAGAACCCCAAACTTCACAGAAACATTCACTCGATTTTCTGGATATTATAAAAATGTGAGAGTATTAGCTTGGATCTTTAAATTTCTTAACAACAGTCGTGATAGAAAAAACGAAAAATTTAATGAAGAATTAACCTAAGAAGAAGTGAGTTTTTCAGAGAAAAGGTTGTTATATTTAATCCAAGCCGAAAACTTTCGGAATACTGATGGAAAAAATTTGAAAGGGATGATTACATTTAAGGATGACTTTGGACTTCTTCGAGTAAGAACCAAACTAATTTTAAGTGATGAAGACGAAAACTTTAAGTGTCCTATTCTATTGCCAGGGAACCATGCACTAGTTCATCGCCTAATAGAACAAAAACATCGGCGACTGCAGCATGCAGGTACAGGGACCTTGATCTGCAACTTGCGAGAAGATTATTGGATTGTTGGTGTGAGACGTCTTGTGAAGAGAATTGTTCAAAGTGTGTTATTTGTAAAAGATTCAAAGGCAAATCAGTTCAACCACCAGTTGCACCCTTACCAAAGGACCGCATTAAATATGCTGCAGCTTTTGAGGTCACTGGCATCGATTTGGCTGGCCCATTGTATGTATTGCCTGGCGAAAAAGCATGGATTGTGATTTTTACTTGTGCGATCTATCGTGCTGTGCACTTTGAATTGACGAAATCTTTATCAGCAGATTCATTTATAATGGCACTCCGAAGATTCATTGCAAGAAGGGGTAGAATAAGCATCTTATATACTGACAATGGTACCAACTTTGTAGGAACGAATAATGCACTAAACGAACTTGATTGGGAAAAAATAATGGAGTTCTCAACAATTGAGAAGATTAAATGGAAGTTTAATCCTCCAACCGCTGCCTGGTGGGGAGGATTTTGGGAGAGGTTGGTACGGATGGTAAAAGATCTTTTAAGACGAGTTTTGGGCTCTAAAACGGTCAGTTACATTG